AATTATCCAAAAGGAGAAATTTACATGAAATGCACAGTTATGGAAGCAGTGATGATGACACCTCTGGGGTCCGCTTTAAGCTTTTCCAAAGCCCTTTTTCTTGAAACACCTGACTAAACGTGCAAAATTGGCTTGTCCAGAGACATAAATAATGTGTGTCCTGCATAAAATAACCACTGTATGCTAAACTGCCTGTAAGTCTCTGTAAACAACCTCAATAGGAAGTTATCCCTTTCAGGGCAAAGAAAAGATATTGAATTTCTAAGGTATAAAGTAAAAAGGAAACAGAACAACAGGTAGTATAATGCTGCTGAAGTCTATTCTATTCTGAAGTAAGTCCCATTTAATTTCATGGGGTATCAAATTCTGTTCAGACACCTGAGGCCACCTTTCAAAATAATACAGGTTTGACATCTTAAATGTTTAGAACATACTTTTATTTTCTAGCTCTTAACACTGAAAAATATTGATGAGGTTTTGTGTTTTTACTCCTTTTTTCTCTGGAATGATAAAAAAAAAAAGGATAAAATGATACCACAATTTGCTTCAGTTCAAATCCACTCTTTTGGAGACTCATTTAGTGACTCTGGTCAATTACCGTTCCTCAGCTCAGCTTACCTCACAGGGTTGTTGTTCTGGGAAAAAAAAACCCCTATACACAAAGAGACAGTGCTATCTACAGCATCTTGAACTATTGCAGAAAATGCAGGCTATACGGTACATCCAAGAAGGAACATATTTATTATTCCTTAAAAACAGTAATGATTAGCCAACCCATAATCTTTCATGATTATGCCACTCAATGATTGACTTTGAATATGCTCCAAACTTTTTTGTTGTGCCAAGGATGCTAAGTCTTATGACTGGCAGAGAGTCCCAAAAGTGAATGTTTGGGAGAAAAGTGGAGAAGAACCAGCTTTGAATCCAATGAATTCAAGGCCCACTTGGTTTCCACATGTGACCCCCATCTGGGATACTCACTATGCCAGTCCTGGAGCGAATCTCCCATCCCACCATTTGAAGACAACAAGGAATGGAACTGTGCACTCTTAAATCCATTGGATGAAAACCCTGGTTAAATCACCCCATTGCATCTTTAGTTTTCAATGAGTCAAGCTGGCAGGGCTTGTAGTGCCCTGGAAGATGTGCAGCTCAGCTCATTCCAAGCTCCCCTTAGGATTGATCTGGAACTTAATCTAGATCCTGGCTAAAAGACCTGGATGAACTGCTCTGTCCCACACCCATAACAATGGCCAGCGGAGCAGCCAGGCCAGCGAACAAGAAAAGCCAAGGCGAGGAGCATATCCAAAACCAGAAAAATTAGAAAACTGGGGGAAAGTATTAGAAAATAATTACCAAAGGCATGAGGTTGCTAGTGCATTGCACTAAGAACTCTACTTATGCTAGTTAAAACACAGAAAAGAGAAATATATTCTGCTCATTAAAACAAACAGGAAAAAATCAGTAAACAGGGTTGAGAGCCATAGGAAAACCATGTTCATGTCTCACAAAGGTTTATACGCCCCATGATTTTAAAATGTTAAAGATTTAAATATTAAATTCAGCACTGGGCACATACATGAATCCTTCTGCACGCCCATCCACAATTAAAACCCACAAAAGCATGTACTTTCTGTCTGCTGTTGCTTCCCTGAGGAGCTGATAGCACAAGCTGAGAAAAGATAAATAAAACCAAGGACACGGAATGGCTTTCAGCATCCTCTACAACTGCCCCATGTGGAAATATCTGTCAGTCAAGCGCTGCTTCAGGTGGCATCAGGGACATGACAGTGTATTTCCTTTCCATGGTCATTTTCTGGGATTTTATTTTATTCTGCTTGGCTAAGGTCCAAAATGGCTCTGGAGGAATAGATCCAGAAATTCAGGGAATCACTGAATTTTACTGGATGTGTTATAAATGTCAGAGAAATAAAAGAAAATGCTTTAGCAAGAGAAAAAGCAGGAAGAGGAGCAGTAGGCTTTTTCAAACTCTCATATAAACCAGCCTTTCTCTGGCCACTTCAATACTCAACCAATTCAGGAGGAATGGAAAGTAGGGTATTCTCCTCTGCACAAATCACAGCTATCCTTGTTCCGTCAGTGGTATCTCGATTCATCCTGGGTCCATATCTCATATTAAGCCTAATTTCCTTTACCATGGTTTACTGGATAAACCATGCCTGATAATCAGCTGGGTTCATGGAACTGCCTAAGCCATAGATACTGGTTTACAGTTTGTTGTGGCTGACTTACCTTACACGTTCAGTCAAAAGTGAACAGATTATGACTTAATCCAATGTAAGCCCAGCCTCACTTCCTCATCCAGTTAACTTCTCACCTTCATGTGCCTCCTTTCCTTTGGGAGCTCAAGGCAGCATATGCAATGGTGATATGAAAATGGTGGTTTTCCCCATGACAATAACCTCCTGAGGTTCCTGCTGCCAGTCCAAACCCTTCATCCAATACCCAGCACGGATTCCCATGCCCGGTCAGCTTAAAAGATGGATACTGTACAAGTAATCGTATTACTAAAAGATCAGAAAGCAGTTCTTGGAGAAGGGTCATCTAGCATACCGCAGCAGAAATAAAACCAAGCAAAAACCGTCACCTACAAGATTCCACTCCTTTAGTTAGCAAGGGGAAATCATAAGTTTACCACTTGCTTTTTAGGAAACATCATGTATTCTGTGATACCTTGGTCTCTACAGCTTCCTTATGGCACTGTACAATCAATAAACAGATTTACAGGATGGCAGAGGGAACTTTCAGCCCAACCACTCCTGACAAGCCTAGGCAGCATAGTCAGTTGGCAGTTGCAGTTCATCAATAATTGAAGACCCGCAGACTTCCCATCTCTGCTTTAGGAAATTCAATGAAGAGTCCACAATATCTGGAGATCAAAACATAATCTACTGACCTTACTACTATGGCCCTCCATAGCCATCATCCTCTAGAGCCCTGAGGAGGGAGGGCATAGAGCTGGTCTCCCCACTTCCCACCCAACTTCCCAATGTTCCCCACGTTTTTGGCGGAAAACAATAAAACAATTGTGCAAAGTCTAGAATAGACTTGACATATTTTAAAATAAATACCTCCTATGAAAAGGTCACATTGAAAAGAATTGAAAATCTAATATATGCAGTGCAATCCCACACACTGTGAATCATCATCCTGGGTGATGACTGCGATGAGGGATCCTGCTACTCAAACAAACAGCAAGAAAAGAGCCTTGAGGCATCTTAAGGGCTAACCCATTTTTATTCATTATTTTCTCACCACTTTTTTCAACTCACCACTTTTTTTTCCTATCCCTGCAACAAATTAACAGGACAATCTCTTTAGAAACTAAAACAAAATGCACAGATGTCCATATGAAATAATGGGAGTCAAAAACAGCTACTGACTTTGTGAAATTCAAGCAAAATCAATTGCAAGCTACAGGTAAGTTCCCACCAGTCAGGGCAAGAATGGCATGGCCAAAGACACAGAAATGAAATGAAACTAATCAGGTTGTTTCTACCTCATTATTTTAGGTCATGCTTGTTTTAACCCCATTTTCAAATGTTACATTGCAGATAATATTCAGTCCCTTGACAGAATTCCTTAGGCATACATTGACCTGAAGCTTTTTTCCCCCTTGCTTGAAATTAGGATTGTGATACAATTGGTAGAGGGAGGGAGGGAGGGAGGGAGGGAGGAAGGAAGGTCAAGTCTTCTCTGAGTGGACCTTTAGTCCCGTGACTACACGGATATAATCCATGTAGTTCTCTAGGCAAACAATACAGTTTTGCCATGTCTTCTTCTGAGATGATTTTTCAAAGTCCCAGTCAAGCCTACAGACCTCGTTCCCAGTGAATTATATCTGATCCTGCTTTGCTTTTTGAGACCAGCCAAATTTGCAAACTGTTATGACTTAATTGATAAAGGAAGTTAGATAAAGACACCTTCTAGTTGAGCTCAATTCCTGGTCACTTTATAGACTGTTGTTTTCTTTCTTTCTTTCTTTCTTTCTTTCTTTCTTTCTTTCTTTCTTTCTTTCTTTCTTTCTTTCT